AACCCTGGAGACAAGATTGGCTGTTAGACATGTCCCTATTGCTGTGGTGACGATGGAGGTGATGTAAGTTCCCGCTTTAGCCGGGCTGCCTGAGGCGCCAGGCCAACCCAGCAGCTATTTACTATAGAGCTTCCAGCCACCTCCTGCTTTTCAGCAGTATAGCAGTCTGGCATCACGGGTGACTGTTGGACCGCAGTTCCTCCTAAATCCAGAGCTCCGATGTGGAAAAGATTGTGGGATTTCATTTGGGATTCTATTCACCTTTTGTAAGCCTTTAATTCACACGTGGAAATACCAACAAGTTGTCACGTGTTTAGTGACGGAGGCATTGATGCAATGGGATGTGTTACGGAGCAGGAGTTTTTATACACCCTTCGACAACGCCATCAGAAATACACTCATGTAAAAGTTGGAATAAAAACTGCATTAGTATAATATTTCAATATTACATACATTTCCCATACATATTTTGCTGAAACATTGCAATCATTACTCCTTTTATATTTGGAGTGAACGTCAAGGTCTTTCAATAAGAAAACTGTATTTGGTCTGAGAAAGATTCATAGTTCAATTGAAAATATGTCTTTGAACAAATAATTTCAAAATACACATTTTCTCCTTCAAATCTGAACATACATTGATATTGAATGCTTTTTGTTTGAGCCCATATTGAACTCTGCTTGGCTTTGTAATGCTCATAAGTACTTTTATTAAATAGGTCAACATGTAATGTTCAATGCAGGAATAGACTTTTATCAAGCAGCTGCACCTCAGGCTTTTGCTATATGAAGACTGCTATCAAGTATAAACTTGTACAAGCTGTATGTTTTCTGTTACACCTCCATTTCTCTTGTGACTGTTCCTTGCCACCATATAACTAATTCTGTCATGGAGACAGAGAAAAATACACCAGACCACCCCTCTCCCCCTTTTTCACAGCCCACCTGTTGCACAAAGACAAACAGTTGTACATTGCATTGTCACAAACTGGAGGCCAAACGCTTCACCCCACTGGGCCGCAGCACGCTCTGTCTGGCAGGGCTGATCCACTCCAACAGAAGGTGAAGCCTCCTCTCCTTTGAATTGCATTCCTCTGATCTCACATCAGACTCTCGGGAGCTAGCTCAGATTGGTATTCTATCTGTCAGGATTGTGATCTCACTACTGCATATTTAGTCCTCTTAGCTCTGCCTTTGGGACTTGGACTTTCAATTATCTGCTTCTTGACTTCACTTGCTGAAAATGTACTTATGATGTTGGCTTGGTAGCTTACGTTTCCCGCCTGTTTAAAGGTCCCATGACATGGCCATTTCTACTGATCATAATTCCATTGTTGAGGTCTATTAGAATAGATTTACATTGTTCAATGTTCCAAAATCACATAATATAATATGTTATTTAAAAATATTTAAATATCAAACAAATGGATTATGAAATAAAGTAACAAGCACTTAAGCAATTCCTAACCAGTCCATTTAACAGTACACTTCATTTGAGTAACACAAAGAGATTATAATTGAAGAGATCAACGTGGCAGGCACAGCAGCAGGAGCAACGGTGAAAGGGTCACGCAATCAAGCAATTTTTTAATATCTCTGATCTTTCTGTGAGTATTGAAACCGCTCCACGGCTCTATGACCTGAGGCGCAGACAAGTATCAAGTGAAGCAGTGCTGCAGTTCACGCTTCACGGGGCACATTTATCACTCTTGATCTGTCACACACACACAGAGACACACACAAACTAGGCATCAACTGTCAGCAGTCAATCAGACAGAAATTATAACACACACAGTGACACACACACCGAAACAACCAGTGGGCATGAAATGTCCAGGGTCAAAAGATTTAGGAGTGGGACTTTGTGTGTTTTTGTCAAAATGAATTCACACAAAACGACAAGTGTAGCCCGCTGTTGTAAAAATTGTGTTTGGTCATGAGGGACTTGTTTGGCCTTGTGTTAATTAGAAGGTTAGGGGAGGTCTGGAAACCTTATAAGGTATAAGGTTTAAGGTATGTGTAACACTACTATGGGGGTCAAGGTCAGGAATTTGAGATTGGGTGAGGAGGCAGAGACGGTAGGTGTCAAACAGTCCATACCTGTCACTGCTCAACCCCTGACCCCTTTGACACCCACAGACTCCTTCTCTAAACCCCATGGCATGGCACTCTAGTCTAAAGCCCCAGGCTGCAGATTCAGGGAGGGGCAGAGGATGGCTCCGCTAAAGCGTTATTCCAAGTGTTTTTGCCACAAGCTTGTCAATCTGTTTAATGTCGTTGTACGCCACTGGAATCCTGCGCTGCTCTGCTTAGCATGCCATTACGATATTTCATGCTCCATGCAAACAATACGTAGGTGCTGGACATATTTCAAGAGTGTGTGTTTAGACTGGCAGCACACAGTTGGAAAGACAGGCCTGAAATTAAGCACAGCCGTGCCAGGACAGGCCCTGTCTTCCAAGATCACGCTGTATGTTTCACGCTGAGTTTGTTTCCGGAGGATTCTTCCCACCATCACTCAGTTACTGGCATCAAGTCAGTGTTAGATACCATGGTGAACAGTGATATCCACACAGTCAGCCTTGATGAGCCTTTTGGAAAGTTAAATGCATGGGGATGGCAAGTGGTTGGATTCCCTATTTTTGTCTTTTCTGATTTTATAAAGTTTTAATTTAAACGCCAAACAATGTTACTATTGGTTAGCCACCATGTTCTGAAGGTTGTTTGTTTGTGTTGACTGAAATGTCCATTAATTACCGAATGTTGGCATAAAAGGCTTTTGTCTGATTTGTAGTTAAATTGTAGTTTTTCTTTCTTACGATTTAGTTTTGTTGTTGAATTAATGTAGCAAATGTAAAAAGGGGGGGAAGGTGAGGCCATGGCAAGCGCCGGAGAGCTGTGTATTGGATTCAAACTCGGGTCGCTTTCTGTAAGAACTCAGCCTTACCGGCTCTCCCTGCTGGAGACCCATTCTGAAAAATGTGTGCTGGAACATTTTGGGGGAATGACATGCAGACTAAACCAAACGTGCCACTAGCAAACCCCATATGCCCATAAGAACATGTGTGACTTTCAGCCGCAGAACTGAAACTGAAATTCTTGAATGACAAATGATAGTGTCATTCTTTTTGGGAGACAGGAGCATCTCCTGTAGTTACTGAGTTGATCTGTGCCCCGGACAGGAGTTAGAGAAGATTTTCACTGCTGTGCATTGCTGTCCATGACAGGTTCCTGAAAGCAGTGGCACGCTCTGCTGCGGGGGCATTATGAGGGAAGGGGAATTTGGCGCTATGTTTGGAATCTGAGATGGGTCTTCATGCCAGCCCGCACGTCTCTACCCTCCCCTCTTCCCTTTTGACCCTCCCCCGCACCTCTCTCCTCCTGCATCCCTTTCCCTAGCCCTCCCTTGATGTCATCACTGCTCGTGTGAACTAAGCTTCCTCCTGTTCCTCAGCAGAACCAGCATATTGAAAGCTGGCAGCTCCTCTGGAAGAGCTGTGCTTCTGTTTTTAGCTGGGTGAAAGCCCACATCTTGTTTGCCAGCGCCCTAACCCATTTTTAGCACATCCTGTTACATGTGGGTGGAAGTGCTTTCTGATTAATTTCAGGACACACCCAATTTAAAGTTGTCAGAAAAAGGCAGTTTTATTTAATTTACTGTTTTGCTTAATGACAACATTGATTAAAAGGCAGTAAAAATGGCTTGTTGCAACCTGATGTTAGTTGTTAGTTATTAGGGATTGTTTACAGTTTATAGAGAAAAAGGCCATTCATTTGCCCAGCTGACCTCTGAACTCTCTTACAGTCCATCAACCCAAGAGCTACTTGAACTTCAGGCCGTTACGTTTTAGGGTTTGGTGGAGGAATCCATCAAGATAATTGTGGGTGCTTCTTGACATTGTCCACGGCTCTTTACTTTGCTTTGATATGATTGTAAGCATTGCTTCTATCCTCATGCAAGGAGAGACAGCAAGCTGAGTGCTTCAAAAGCCCGCTGGGGTTTACAGCATGGAGCTGAGGGATACTAGACGAGCGTGGGCCTGCCTTCAACTCTCTCAAAGAGAGTCAGTTAAAAGAATTTTTTTTATTTAAACAGCACTCTCTATTTTGGGCACTGTTTTCATTCATCACATAATTCCAGAGGGCACGCACCAGAAGTTTTGCACACACATGCCTACAGTACCCTGTTTTTAAGACATGTTAAATGTTTCATTAGGATCGACGCCAGCACTGAAATTGCACAGACGGATAAAATGTGTTTCAGCCTCACAGAAACATGACAGGGGTGTGGTGTTTAGGAGCAGGTGAGGCTTTTTGTTGACACTGCAGGTGTCACATGCAAGATGGTGTCACAGGGTTTAAATTCCAAACCACGCCAAGTCCATAACAAAGAGCTATGACATATCACAAGGACCTTTATATCGTACAATGTTCAATCAAGCTGAAGTCACCCGCTTTAAGGGCTTGATTAGGATGTTGATGTACTGCAAAGGAAACATACTGCTCTGACAGAAAGCTCACTGTTGGCAGAAACAATCATTGGCATCATTTTCTGCCTGTGTACTCTGATGAAAGATGGAGATAGAGACTTCCGTACACAGACATGGATCATGTGGGCTTAGCTGATGTCTTTTCACTTACCTGGCTGCACCTGCAACACTTTTATTGACTCCATGCTGACAAATGCTGGTGACTTGTTGTATTTGTGCTTGGCTTTATGGCCACACAAATACTGCTGAAGTCGAGCCTTGAATCAGTGTAATCACTAAATCCACAATAAAAGTCTCTCGGTATGTGACTATGTTGGCGATGACCGAGCCGATGTTGTGCCCCAGCTTTCACAAGAAAGGAAACCAGAGTATTTTCAGAGCTGCTGGCCTTGGCCGGTGCGTTACTTGACAGAGCGAATTAAGCACAGGAAACGACAACATAATGCCAAATCTATTCAGAGCAGTGACTGCCTTTTTTTGTTTCGCCTGCTCTTTGTCTTCTGATTTTTAGCTCTTCCATGTGGCATACATCCTCCTCAAGTTTGCTAATTCACCTCGACCTGACCTCTGGGTGCTGGAGCGCTCTGTGGACAACGGGAGAACCTTCACCCCCTGGCAGTATTTTGCACGTAAGTTCTCCTGCAATGTTGTCGTTTTTACTCACAATCCACATGTTCATATATGTACAGTATATGCAAAATAATATATGCTATTTATGTCATTACTTATCTTACAACTGATTGTCAACTCATCCTCTCCTTTTCTTTCTAAGTTATTAATGTAATTTTTGATATCTCTTTAGAGCAGTGGTCTATATGACTAGTGCTTTTATTGCTGTGCTGACCCGTTCTTCTGTCAAAAAACATTGAATTACACACACCTACATATGGACTCATTAAACTGAAACTTGAACTCAAACTATTTTATCCCTAAGAAAGAAAAACATTTCTGCTCCCTTAATTGTTCCATGAATCAAATGTTTAAAAGTCAAATGAAATTTCCCCCTGGAGTTGTTGGTCAGATTGCCAGTCCCCAAACTTGTATGTACATTTAGTAAATCTGGAAAGAATGTGTGTTTTTTTAACTATAATGTTTTAATAGAAATTGATGTCAAAGTGATCCCCACTTGAAAGAAAACCTATTACACATTTTGATCATTACACTTAATGCAGTTTTCTCTTCACATGATTTGTTTGGAATACACAGAAAGAGATTGGAAAGTGATTTATTAGATGTATAGTACAAAATACAACAACAGCAGCCACTCATTATCCGAATCCTGGTATACACACACACACACACACACACACACACACACACACACACACACACACACACACACACACACACACACACACACACAAGATTATCTTCTCTTTGCCAAAAACAGTTGAACCATAAAAAGCTGATTTAGCTTCATAACAGGCCTTTTTCATACCAGACATGTTGACTCTATAAAAGGAAATGCACAGATGTAACTAACAATGGCCCACTAAGCCAACCCAGAGATCTATAATGTAGAGAACCAGAGCCCCGGAACTGGCACTGCTGTAGGTAATGCAAACCCTATTATTGTTATTAATTAGGCCTCTGTCATTCCTGCCATGACAAGTCAAAATGTCTGCCCTGAAGTAGAGCCATTGTGTAGATGGATTAAAGCTAGCGCACCTTAATCCTGCCACACTGATCAGCTTGCTTAAGAATTTAAGACAGGAGGTTTCTGTGTTTTTGGTGTGCAAAATAGGAAACCAAACTACAAACAAAACTTTATAACTTGAATGAACTCCAAGTTTAGTGTCAGTGTAGTGGAGAGTCAGTGTTGGCACTTGTTTTGTGTCTATCACTAGGTTCACCCAGGTGTGTCGACCAGAACACCACTTAAGGCCAAAGGTCCAGAATAAAGGAAATGAGGAACTAAGATGAGGCTTGACTTCTTTACTTATTTAGGCAGACATACAGATATTTGTCGTGTGTGGTTTTTCCTACAAGGGAAATAAACAAAATACAATCAATATAAGATAACTTATGCATACATAAATGATATACATAATAATGCCAAACCCTATAGAAATAATAATCTAGACAAGCTATAATACAACATGTCTCCCTTCTCTTATCATCATAAACACATTAACATTATAATGTCAAACACTCTTTACCAGGCAACACAGAGATTCAAAGTTAAGCTACCGCTAATGAATAACGTTCCACTTCCGGTTGGCGGGAAGCGGCAGCCGATACTCTTATTGTGAAACGCTACAGACATGCTACTTCCGGTAGCGGAGCAATAAATAAACTGTTAACACATAATATCTCACCTTGGGGCCCTGTATTAAGTTGGCCTCGGCCGAGGTGTTGTGGAAAGAAGAGGGTCGGTCTACCAACGATTTTGGTGTCACCCATATGTGACGAGTTTCCGAGTGGGAATCGTAGTATCGCAGTGTAAAGAGAGTTACTTGGACTAGCCACGAATCGCTACGCTGCTAGTGGCCGCTATGAACGCGTACGCGAGCAACGGGACAGAGCTACCCCTAGTCCAGAGGTGTCAGCGGAGTCGCGGTGCAATGCGGAATGAGTCTAATAGGGCTTATGACTGAAATTCAATATCGGATTATATGGACTGCACGACGTTAAATGTTACAACACTTACACTTGACTGCAAGTTCGATTGTAAATGTGGACATCGAGTTGCGGGGCCAGTGAGTGGTCTGTCGGACGGGGACAAGAGGTGAGCTAGAGATGAATAGTGTGGGCCCGGGGTCTTGGTTTCGAGGTAAGAGAGTCGTGACTCCGCAGAAGATAGGGAGATTTAGGCAACGAGACCCAGAGAGGAAAGCGCCTTGCGTGATCTGAGTATTACAGTTTAGATACCAACAGCCAGGCGTAGTGACGTAGATCTTATATAGATAAAAGTTGGTAGAAGACAGTTTTGAGTGCCGTAGGACACTCAGGTACAAATGGCAATGATTGCCATTGCTGCCCGTGTCGAGAGGGATAGCAATGCAGTGTGCGCCCCTCGGCAGCTGGGCACCCTCGAAAAAAATACGCTTCATCTTTTTACAGAATGTTTTATGCTGCTGCTCTACAGTGTTACCATTCTAATCATCATGACACGATACACGACTAAAAACCCCTTTAAGGGATGGCACATAGAGGTAGTAAAAGGATTGTGTAGAATATACGTGCCAACAGAGGATTGCGCGCTCTCGCGCGCGCGCGCTCGCGTGACATAAAGAAAGAAAAAGCAGTCGCAGTGTTTAAATTGCACTCAACAAAACAAGAGTGGAGAAGACAGACAGGAACAATAACAAGAAGATGAGTGAAGAATAAATAGAAAAAAAAATAGAGAAAAACACTATATAAAAAGAACAACAGAAATACACAAACAAAAGAAGATTTACGCTCTCAGAGGCACGAGTAACAGGACACGGTAGCGACCCACATGACAGAATGAATTAGCGGACAGCGAGTAAGTTAGTGAGCAGTTCATCCTGAGCGCTTGATTCTGCGGTGTTCGGCGCTCCAGGTTTCAATCGCCCCAGTATATGTGTGGCAAGACGTCGACCTGTGGGCTGGAATAATAAATGTACGATAAGTCGCTACATCTAAAAGTGAAGAACCTATTTTACAAATATC